TGCAGTTGAAGGTAAGTCGTTGGGAAAGCACGACCTGATCGTCAGATTCCTGAGGGGCTCTCTATACCCTCTTGGGATTTGTCTCTGATCCTTTTGGCTCTTCAGAGACCACCCTTTGAGCCTTTGCAGTCAGCTGAGTTAAAAATTCTGTCCTGTAAAACAGTACTCCTGGTTGCATTGGCCTCCATCAAGAGGGTAGGGGATCTGCATGCATTTTCGGTCGACGAATCGTGCCTAGAATTCGGCCCGGCTAACTCGGTCTTGATCCTGAGACCCCGGCCCGGATAGGAGCCAAAGGTTCCTACCACTCCCTTCCGGGACCAGGTGGTGAACCTGCAAGCGCTGCCTTCGGAGGAGGCAGACCCAGCCCTGGCTTTTCTCTGTCCCGTCCGCGCTCTGTGCCTGTACGTGGACAGAACGCAAAGCCTCAGGACCTCAGATCAGCTCTTTGTCTGTTACGGAGGCCAGCAGAAGGGAAAGGCTGTCTCCAAGCAGAGGATGGGCCACTGGATAGTGGATGCCATCGCCTTGGCTTACGAAGCCCAAGGCGTGCCTTGCCCGCCCGGGTTGAGAGCCCACTCCACTAGGAGTGTCGCTTCTTCTTGGGCGCTGGCACACGGCGCCTCGCTGACAGATATCTGTAGAGCTGCGGGCTGGGCGACACCTAACATGTTCGCTAGGTTTTATAGCCTACGTGTTGAGCCGGTTTCTTCCTGTGTGCTCCCTTCAACCAGCCGGTAACACCGAAGTTCCCGCTCTAGTGTCGGCTTGCTGCGCCACTCCACGGAGCGGATACGTGCGCTTTTTGCTTTCAGTCGATTTCCCCACTCAGACGAACCCTGTGAGTTCCCCCGCACCCCTTCGGCAGTCGGACGTTGCGGAGCGTCCGACGCCAGGCCTAGTGCTCGTATGCTTGTGTAACTTGTGCTAGGCTGGGTTCCATATGTGGTGATCCCTGCGGCGATCCCATATGAGTATTCTTCCACGACCAGCTCCCTGCGGTGAGCCCGTGTCTTTCCCTTGGCAGAGTCCGCTCTGCTGTCACTGTCTGGTGTAGCCTCCCCCTTCTTAGGCTGGAGCCACCCCAGTGACATTCCATATGTTGCACTGCCCCTACCGGCCAGTCCATATGTGTATTCTCCACATGTTACCTCCCTTCGGGCAGGATGTGGCTTCCGCAGCGTCCCCTTCCCCTGGAAAGGCACGCTTTCCCAGTGTTATCCAGTAGTTCCACTGTGTGGGTTATAACGGAGCAGCAGTCCGAATTCCCTCTACGCAGGCCTTCCGCCCCAGCCAGTTGGGGGTCTGAGAGTCTTGCGTAGGGCGCTGGATGTGGCAGCAACCAATGGCGTTTTCCATGGGATCCCAATTACGGCGTCACATCGAACGTGAGCGACTGAAAGGGAACGTCTCGGTTACTGTAACCCTCGTTCCCTGAAGGAGGGAACGAGAGACGTGACGTCCTGCCCTGACCATCGCTGTACGGCCGTCACAATCTCGGACATCAGCGAAAAACAATGAGTGCGTGCGCCCGCTTCCTGTTTATACCCGCGGGGCGGGGCGCGTGACGCTTCTCACGCACGCCAACGTTCATTGGCTCGTTCTGTAGACACTCGAAGTTGATAGGGCTCCCTGAAGTGATCCCAATTACGTTGTCACGTCGACGTCACGTCTCCCGTTCCCTCCTTCAGGGAACGAGGGTTACATCAGTAACCAAGACGTTTTCTGTAATTGAAATAAAGCTGAAATAAATTAAAATATAAATATTAGATTTATATTGAACTAATATAATATAAAAATAACTAATTAGAAATACTAACTGAAATAAGTTTCATTTTTATTTCATTTTAGTACTTCAATGTAATCAAAGCTATATATATATATATATATACACACACTCACCTAAAGGATTATTAGGAACATCTGTTCAATTTCTCAATAATGCAATTATCTAATCAACCAATCACATGGCAGTTGCTTCAATGCATTTAGGGGTGTGGTCCTGGTCAAGACAATCTCCTGAACTCCAAACTGAATGTCAGAATGGGAAAGAAAGGTGATTTAAGCAATTTTGAGCGTGGCATGGTTGTTGGTGCCAGACGGGCCGGTCTGAGTATTTCACAATCTGCTCAGTTACTGGGATTTTCACGCACAACCATTTCTAGGGTTTACAAAGAATGGTGTGAAAAGGGAAAAACATCCAGTATGCGGCAGTCCTGTGGGCGAAAATGCCTTGTTGATGCTAGAGGTCAGAGGAGAATGGGCCGACTGATTCAAGCTGATAGAAGAGCAACTTTGACTAAAATAACCACTCGCTACAACCGAGGTATGCAGCAAAGCATTTGTGAAGCCACAACACGCACAACCTTGAGGCAGATGGGCTACAACAGCAGAAGACCCCACCGGGTACCACTCATCTCCACTACAAAAAAGGAAGAAGAGGCTACAATTTGCAAGAGCTCACCAAAATTGGACAGTTGAAGACTGGAAAAATGTTGCCTGGTCTGATGAGTCTCGATTTCTGTTGAGACATTCAGATGGTAGAGTCAGAATTTGGCGTAAACAGAATGAGAACATGGATCCATCATGCCTTGTTACCACTGTGCAGGCTGGTGGTGGTGGTGTAATGGTGTGGAGGATGTTTTCTTGGCACACTTTAGGCCCCTTACTGCCAATTGGGCATCGTTTAAATGCCTACCTGAGCATTGTTTCTGACCATGTCCATCCCTTTATGGCCACCATGTACCCATCCTCTGATGGCTACTTCCAGCAGGATAATGCACCATGTCACAAAGCTCGAATCATTTCAAATTGGTTTCTTGAACATGACAATGAGTTCACTGTACTAAAATGGCCCCCACAGTCACCAGATCTCAACCCAATAGAGCATCTTTGGGATGTGGTGGAACGGGAGCTTCGTGCCCTGGATGTGCATCCCACAAATCTCCATCAACTGCAAGATGCTATCCTATCAATATGGGCCAACATTTCTAAAGAATGCTTTCAGCACCTTGTTGAATCAATGCCACGTAGAATTAAGGCAGTTCTGAAGGCGAAAGGGGGTCAGACACAGTATTAGTATGGTGTTCCTAATAATCCTTTAGGTGAGTGTATATATACACAGTGTATATATATATATATACAGTGAGGAAAATAAGTATTTGAACACCCTGCTATTTTGCAAGTTCTCCCACTTAGAAATCATGGAGGGGTCTGAAATTGTCATCGTAGGTGCATGTCCACTGTGAGAGACATAATCTAAAAATAAAAAAATCCAGAAATCACAATGTATGATTTTTTAACTATTTATTTGTATGATACAGCTGCAAATAAGTATTTGAACACCTGAGAAAATCAATGTTAATATTTGGTACAGTAGCCTTTGTTTGCAATTACAGAGGTCAAACGTTTCCTGTAGTTTTTCACCAGGTTTGCACACACTGCAGGAGGGATTTTGGCCCACTCCTCCACACAGATCTTCTCTAGATCAGTCAGTTTTCTGGGCTGTCGCTGAGAAACACGGAGTTTGAGCTCCCTCCAAAGATTCTCTATTGGGTTTAGGTCTGGAGACTGGCTAGGCCATGCCAGAACCTTGATATGCTTCTTACAGAGCCACTCCTTGGTTATCCTGGCTGTGTGCTTCGGGTCATTGTCATGTTGGAAGACCCAGCCTCGACCCATCTTCAATGCTCTAACTGAGGGAAGGAGGTTGTTCCCCAAAATCTCGCAATACATGGCCCCGGTCATCCTCTCCTTAATACAGTGCAGTCGCCCTGTCCCATGTGCAGAAAAACACCCCCAAGGGTTCACAGTAGGGATGGTGTTCTTGGGATGGTACTCATCATTCTTCTTCCTCCAAACACGGCGAGTGGAATTATGACCAAAAAGTTCTATTTTGGTCTCATCTGACCACATGACTTTCTCCCATGACTCCTCTGGATCATCCAAATGGTCATTGGCAAACTTAAGACGGGACTTGACATGTGCTGGTTTAAGCAGGGGAACCTTCCGTGCCATGCATGATTTCAAACCATGACGTCTTAGTGTATTACCAACAGTAACCTTGGAAACGGTGGTCCCAGCTCTTTTCAGGTCATTGACCAGCTCCTCCCGTGTAGTTCTGGGCTGATTTCTCACCTTTCTTAGGAACATTGAGACCCCACGAGGTGAGATCTTGCATGGAGCCCCAGTCCGAGGGAGATTGACAGTCATGTTTAGCTTCTTCCATTTTCTAATGATTGCTCCAACAGTGGACCTTTTTTCACCAAGCTGCTTGGCAATTTTCCCGTAGCCCTTTACAGCCTTGTGGAGGTGTACAATTTTGTCTCTAGTGTCTTTGGACAGCTCTTTGGTCTTGGCCATGTTAGTAGTTGGATTCTTACTGATTGTATGGGGTGGACAGGTGTCTTTATGCAGCTAACGACCTCAAACAGGTGCATCTAATTTAGGATAATAAATGGAGTGGAGGTGGACATTTTAAAGGCAGACTAACAGGTTTTCGAGGGTCAGAATTCTAGCTGATAGACAGGTGTTCAAATACTTATTTGCAGCTGTATCATACAAATAAATAGTTAAAAAATCATATATTGTGATTTCTGGATATTTTTTTTTAGATTGTCTCTCACAGTGGACATGCACCTACGATGACAATTTCAGACCCCTCCATGATTTCTAAGTGGGAGAACTTGCAAAATAGCAGGGTGTTCAAATACTTATTTTCCTCACTGTATATATAAATATGAAGAAAAAAAACATAACAAAACCCAAACTAAAATCAAAATGAAAAAAATCAAAATAAAAGCTAAATGAAAATATGAATAAATAATATAATAGTATTAAAATAATACTAAAATAAGTCTCCAACTCCAAAAAGGGCGAAAGTGCATCATAAATGTGGTCATGCTTTGATGAACTATTCCTTTTAGAGATGATCAAATATCTGTTGTCTTTATCAGACAAATTAATGGTAATTTAATTGACTGGTTTATTGTGTTTCTCAGGGCTCCAAACTATGGATCATCATGGAATATTTGGGAGGTGGATCGGCGCTGGACCTGGTGAGTTAGTATTTTTTTAACCATGTTTCTGAGTTCTTTACAGTGAGGCATAACATCAGAAAATTACTTCTGGACAAAAAAACCCCCAAAGGCACAGGAAATGTCACTATATTTAACATCCTCTAATGTGGGTTTGAACAGTTGAGGCCGGGACCTCTGGAAGAGGCATATATCGCCACCATCATCAGAGAAATACTGAAAGGACTTGACTACCTCCACTCAGAGAGGAAGATTCACAGAGATATCAAAGGTCAGTATTTAAAACTGGCCTCTGTTTGGTTGATTTTAGTCCTGTGAAGTGTCCCTATATGGATAACCCTTCTACTTTTTGGCTACAGCGGCCAATGTGTTACTGTCTGAACATGGAGAAGTCAAACTGGCAGACTTTGGAGTGGCCGGCCAGTTAACGGACACACAAATTAAGAGAAACACATTTGTAGGAACTCCATTTTGGATGGCACCAGAGGTTATCAAACAGTCTGCGTATGACTTCAAGGTACAAGTTCTTCCTTGTCTCGTTTGTCATTTAGCTAACAGGTATCATGTTCAAGTCCTTCACATGAACATCTGTTAACTAGTGAAGACTGCACAATGAAAATAAGCTCAATGAAATATTCAGAGACAGACAGATGGCACAAGTACTAACCCCCATTTTTTTGTCTTCCCTGTTTTAGGCCGACATCTGGTCATTGGGTATCACAGCCATTGAGCTGGCTAAAGGAGAGCCACCGAACTCAGAACTTCACCCCATGAGAGTCCTGTTCCTCATCCCTAAAAGTAACCCGCCCACACTGGACGGGTCCTACAGCAGAGCCTTTAAGGACTTTGTTGAATCTTGCCTCAATAAAGAGCCACGATTTGTTAGTACTTCTCTTTTAAAATACCTTTATAATAAAAACAATTCTATTAAGAGATGCATAATATATTGGTTCTATATCACTTATCAGCCAGTATTTTAATTATAACAAATAATTAAACTTTAAAACCTGAGGCAAACTGCTTTTAATTTTTGTAATATGATGTTTGCATATGACAGAGACCAACAGCCAAAGAGCTGCTGAAACACAAGTTCATCACCCGCTACACCAAGAAAACCTCATACCTGGCAGAGCTCATTGATCGATACCGCCGCTGGAAGTCAGAGGGACACGGGGACGAATCGAGCTCTGACGACTCTGACATGTACGTGTCCGGTCCACATCCCTGGATGAGCGATCTGCGATATCTGTGTACAGTATGTTTACTCTGTTTGTTTTTCACTCAGGGACGGGGAGGGGGATGACAGGGACCAGTGTCCCATGTGGACTTTCCCCACCGTGCGGCCCAGTTCCATTAACAAGTTACAGAGAGACCTCAATCATTTAGACAATAAGGTAAATATGTCTTTTAAAGTCTTTACACTGCAACGCCAATACAAAAGCTGCATCTATAGACGCCATAAAGGAGGTGTTTAAACAGACTATTTAGTCTCTCAGAGGCAGTATACATTTACACAGGAATCACAATTATGGGTAATGATATATCGAACAGAACTAAATTTGCATCAGACCTGCTTCTGATACTAGGGGTAAAATTGGACAGATCTAGCAATGTTAAATATGACTTGTATGCTACATTACATATTTGTATAGAATTCAGAAGCAGCACAGAGCCTCCTTTAAAAATGCAGTTTATATGTTTTTAGGTAAATTTTAGGCAAATAAATGAAGCGTAGTATACTTGATTTTAAACATGTTTAGTTTAAAATCATGTACAGTCATATAGTCACCTCATGGGGGCTGCCATATTGTGATCACATGACTAGCTGAATACTATAGAGTGCAACAGTGCTCCTTTTTTCAGCGGCGCTGATTCCGGAAGTATATTTTTCATTCATTTCTCCCATAGGGATTTTAAAATAGTCTTCCTTATAAGCCATGAACCAAGCCAATCAGCTACGAGGCGAATCACAACAGTACAAACTTGGATTTGAAGCAAAAAAGTTTTTGAAAATCGGACAAAAAGAAAAAGGTACAAGACTGTGTACTTAACGGTTTTAATGAGGGAAAGAACTACAATCCCATGAAGGACTGTGAACACAGCATAATCGAATTAAAAATGATGTAGAAATATAAAACGTATGTACACTCACCTAAAGAATTATTAGGAACACCATACTAATACTGTGTTTGACCCCCTTTCGCCTTCAGAACTGCCTTAATTCTACGTGGCATTGATTCAACAAGGTGCTGAAAGCATTCTTTAGAAATGTTGGCCCATATTGATAGGATAGCATCTTGCAGTTGATGGAGATTTGTGGGATGCACATCCAGGGCACGAAGCTCCCGTTCCACCACATCCCAAAGATGCTCTATTGGGTTGAGATCTGGTGACTGTGGGGGCCATTTTAGTACAGTGAACTCATTGTCATGTTCAAGAAACCAATTTGAAATGATTCGAGCTTTGTGACATGGTGCATTATCCTGCTGGAAGTAGCCATCAGAGGATGGGTACATGGCTGGCCATAAAGGGATGGACATGGTCAGAAACAATGCTCAGGTCGGCCGTGGCATTTAAACGATGCCCAATTGGCACTAAGGGGCCTAAAGTGTGCCAAGAAAACATCCCCCACACCATTACACCACCACCACCAGCCTGCACAGTGGTAACAAGACATGATGGATCCATGTTCTCATTCTGTTTACGCCAAATTCTGACTCTACCATCTGAATGTCTCATCAGAAATCGAGACTCATCAGACCAGGCAACATTTTTCCAGTCTTCAACTGTCCAATTTTGGTGAGCTCTTGCAAATTGTAGCCTCTTTTTCCTATTTGTAGTGGAGATGAGTGGTACCCGGTGGGGTCTTCTGCTGTTGTAGCCCATCCGCCTCAAGGTTGTGCGTGTTGTGGCTTCACAAATGCTTTGCTGCACACCTCGGTTGTAACGAGTGGAAGTTGCTCTTCTATCAGCTTGAATCAGTCGGCCCATTCTCCTCTGACCTCTAGCATCAACAAGGCATTTTCGGCCACAGGACTGCCGCATACTGGATGTTTTTCCCTTTTCACACCATTCTTTGTAAACCCTAGAAATGGTTGCGCGTGAAAATCCCAGTAACTGAGCAGATTGTGAAATACTCAGACCGGCCCGTCTGGCACCAACAACCATGCCACGCTCAAAATTGCTTAAATCACCTTTCTTTCCCATTCTGACATTCAGTTTGGAGTTCAGGAGATTGTCTTGACCAGGACCACACCCCTAAATGCATTGAAGCAACTGCCATGTGATTGGTTGATTAGATAATTGCATTAATGAGAAATTGAACAGGTGTTCCTAATAATGCTTTAGGTGAGTGTTTATGGATTATATGTATAACAACAATTTAAAGTTTATTAAAAAATATGCATACAACCAGTATTTTGAGAGCGTAGGGAAATCAACTTTATTAAATTAGCAGTGCTTCATGGGAGTGGGTGGAGCTAAAGAGCTTTTTGGAGCATGTTGCTTTTTTCGACTTTCTGATTGGTGTAATTTTCTGTACAGCATCATGGGTAATGTAGTTTTTCCACAGAATTCCACTGTTAAACATGATTATTTAAAAAAATAAACTGAAATAATGCCAGCTGACGGCTTCAGCAGAAGAAAACACCATGGATTAACAACCTCGTAGCTCACAGTAGGTCTGCCTTATGGAGAAAATAAGTTTGAGTTTGTACTTCTGGAACCCAACTATAGTAGTCTATAGAGTGCAACAGTGCCCCTTATTTCAGTGGCGCTGATTCCGGAAGTATTGTTTTCATGAATTTTTCCCATAGGGATTTTTAAAAAGTCTTTATTAACCCTCTGGGGTTGTTCGGCCCAAATGGACCCGAAGCATTTAAATATATATATTTTTTTAAATCATAGCTTTATCGGAATGGTCCGAAATTTGGTGACTTTGTTGGTACTTGGTATATGAACACCCCAAAAAATTGGGGACAGTATTTGAATAGTCTTAAGTGGTTGTAAAAAAAATAGTCACACTCAGGACCTTCGGGTCTAAATGGACCCGCATAGGAAATGAATGGGAAATTGGCAAAAATGTGAAAATACAGAGTTTTTTTTTGCGTACAATCTACAAATCAGCCACGATCCAGAAAAAAAGCACACAACAGTGAAGGGGTGAATCTATAAAACATCAAGAGTGCAAAACAGACACATCCACACACACACACACACACACACACACACACACACACACACACACACAAACACACTTTTATACACACACTAATAAATTCAGATTACATATGGGTTTTGAATTTTTAAAATGCTCAGTTTTTCCACCAGATGGCATCCATCTCATTTCAAAAATTGCTTTCATGAGGCCTAGGCTTGACTCTAAAATGAAATACAGCTTTAAAAAAAATTAAAAAAAATTCTATTATATTCAATGGGGAAAAAATGGGTCATAATTATTGCATTAATATTAATTATAAATCATTTTTAGTTTTGAAATTATCTCAAAACACCAAAAAAGAAAAGAAAAAATATTATAAAAATACAAGTAAAAAAAAAAAAAATTATGATTTTTTTTTTAAAATATGAATCCTGCCCTTTGGGTCCATTTGGACCCGAACAGCCCAAGTGTGACTGTTAAACGAACAACCCCAGAGGGTTAAAGAAGTCATGAATCAAACCAACCAGCTACAAGATGAATTACAACATTACAAATTTTGATTTGAAGCGAAAAAATATATTTGAAAATCGGAGAAAATACAAAAGGTACAAGACTGTACTAAACGGCCTTTATGAGGGAAAGAACTACAATCCCATGAAGCACTGCAAATGACAATTTAAAAACGATGGAGAAATATAAAACTATTGATGATGTTGATTATATTATATTAAGTTAAAGTAGTTTGAGACTGAGCATAGAAAAGTGTTTGCATCTTTTTCATCAACACTTGACCCATTAATACAAACACTAAATAGTCCATTCTATTTCTATGCTATCTTTTTTATTTTTTTATTTAAATATCATTGTTTATTGCTTGTACTGTGTTAGACTAACTGGGACTGGTCACAGCACTTACATATTGTTGCCCTATTTTTGGGTTTAATTGCTTCTATTGTTCTCCTCATTTGTAAGTCACTTTGGATAAAAGCATCTTAATGCTTAAATGTAAATGTTCTTTTAACATGATTTTCTTGTCACAATTGGAGATTTCTCTGCAGAATCATGGGTAATGCAGTTTTCACCAGGGATTCCACTGTAAAATTAATGATGCATTCAAAATGAAGTTGAAATAATGCAGGCTGATGACTTCTAATTATACCATCAATTAACAACCTCATAGCTCACAGTAGATATGCGTTTTAGATTTATAAGTTATTGTTCAAAATCAATTTCCCTATGGAGAAAATAAATAGGATTACTTCCGGAACCCGACTCTTGCACTCTAGTCTACTAAAGTAGGATTCAACTTTATCCTATTGACACACACATTTTATATATAAGTTAAATTGAACTAATTGCACATTAACTATAGTATATGGACCACATGAAAAAAATCTGAAAATTGGACTAAGTTCAGCTTACCCATGTCATTTATTCAAAGTGATCCATCAGGTATCACAGAACTCTTGTTTTTTATAACAGACATCAGACGCTATGAAGAGGCAGCCGAAGTCACCGTCTCTGACTACATTCATCTCACCCATCTTCAGAGAGGTAAAGAATGTATGTTTATGTCAGCGAGCCCCCATCACGGGTGCACCTGTGCTTTAACGTCGAGTCTCAACTCGTGGATTAGCAGACTGGTATGTTCTGAATGCAGCTGAAGGAGAAGCGGCGTGTTAGCGGGAACGGCGTATGCGCCTTGGAAGAGCTGGAAAACGCCTTCAGCCTCGCTGAGGAGTCCAGCCCTGGAATCTCTGACCGTTTACTCAATCACGTCATGGAGAGAGTGTGCAGGTAAACAGACCTTACATTTAACAGACAGTCTCATCCACGTTTCTGTACACACAGTATCTAATTGTATTTGATGGAATTTTCTGCTTATGCCAGTTTTTCAGGTCATGCAGACTCTTTGCTATAAGATTTTGTACTGCACTGTGGCACTTGCATGCAGCACTGAATCATCCGCAGGAGTGAACTTTGAGACTTCCTGTGTCTCAACCCTGCAGGTTCACACTCAACGGAAACCGCATGCCTTCGAAACGATGAGGTCCATCGGACTGCTGGCCAGCTCCACGGAAAGACTATCCTGATGGCTCACCTGCTCCTGCTGCTGAAGACCACCAGGCTTTCCATCACTGCTTGTATGAGGAGATGTTTTTACGGTTTCCTTTATAGAATTTTGAAATGTCTAAATTAAATGTAAAATATGAAATGACAAGTCAAGTTAATGTGCGTTCCATTCAATGACAAAGTACATTTAACTATAAATATACTAGTGTAAGAAGAAAACTGCTTGTTTCTTACTTTTGCATAAATCACTTGGGGAAATGCAGAAAAAAAGGGCTTCAAGTTCACCCAAAAATGTTATTTCTTTAAATTCATTACTTTTTTTTTTTCAATGAAACTCGAGAGATTACTGTCCCTCCACTGTGAAAGTCCATTCCACCAAAACTTTGACGCTCCAAAATAATCATAAATATATTGTAAGATTAATTTATATGAATCAAACGGTTTTATGGTTAACATTTACTGATGAACCGATTTAATTTAGCGTTTTATTCACAAACATTGATCAACGATCATAACTCGTTTGTTTACCATATTTGATGTGCTCTATGTTTGTGAGTCGATCAATTTTTAAATATGAAAATAAAAGCCTAAATTAAAACTTGAACTGACTTGGATTGAACCACTTGATACCAAATTAAATATATTCATCATATAAAGCAGTGTTATTTTAGTATTATTTGTATAATATAAATCATCGTATTTATTAATATTTTAAACTTTTATTTTTAAATATATTCATCATATAAAGCAGTGTTATTTTAGTATTATTTGTATAATATAAATCATCGTATTTATTAATATTTTAAACTTTTATTTTTATATTTTCAGTTTTCATTAAAGTCTTATTAATTTAGTTGTTTTTATTAGTTTCTTTTATTTCTCTTTAAATAATGTTTTAGCTTTAGTAAGTTCAGTACTTAAACTCATTTTATTTCAGTTTATTTGCCAAGGCAACATTTCTAATTTTAGTGGAAGTTTGTCATCTAATATTTTATTTGAATTCAGCTATATTTCAAATAATAAAAAATATATATAAAATAGTTTGACTAAATAATACATTTATGTAAGACTGATATAAAGTGATCATGTCTCATCAGAAGACTTGGAATAAACCGTTCAATTCTTATGTATTATTTTGCAATGTTTATTAACTTTTTGAAGTTTTGCTGTAATGTTCTTTCAATGGAGGGACAGAAATCTCTCAGGTTTCATTAAAACTATCTTCATTTACGTTTCAGAGATCAACAAAAGTCATCTCATACGGGGTACTTAATGACAGAATTTTTAGGTTATTTTAAGGTGAACAAATGTTTAAATGGGACAAAATGAGGAGAAGAAAATGTTAACACAGTTCAGTTTTATTTGATATCCCTCGATGTCATAACATGGAACGTACTACATGCGGTGTGTACAGGAGCAATGCCTCGGCAACATGCTACACAAAATAAATAGTAAAGTCAGAGAGTTAAATATTAAAGTCGGAGAGAAGTGAATTCGTAAAAACCCAGTTTAGTGCCTCTCTGAGTGAGACGGGAAACTGAGGACTTTGATTAAACTCCCTTTTCTTGTCCTTAGCAATCCGGGATGAAAAAAAACTCCCCCCAAAAAACCCTTTCATTCATCCCTCTTATTGCCAGACACAGAAAGCGGGGAAGAAAATGATTCCAGTCCTTGCATAAAATGTACAAATGGGTGAAGACCATGAGCCCACAGAGCATTACTGAATTAAGAGGGATTTGAAACACATCAGACAAGCTGAGCTCAAGTCGAGATGATAGCTGCTTACAGTATATTGTTGAGTACACACAGCAACACTGCTTATTGTGTGGCCGACTAACTTTGGCCAACCTTTTCAGGCTTACGCAAAAAAATGTCAGGTCTTTGGTTGGACCCTGTACAGCATGTTGAACGGACAAAGCCAAAAGCCTTATAAATACAATCAATAATCCAAAAAGAGCAAGAAAAAAGTCTCCCAAATCAGATTTCGTACAGATCTGTCTTCGTAAAGTGAAGCCGATAAGTAAACGTAACACTGTGGAACTCTTCTTCATCATGCTATTAAAATAACAAATAACTCAACTGGTCTTGACGATAACACATACATATATATATATATATATATAGTAAGATATGCCTCGCAAAAAAAAAAAAAAAAAAAAAACTTTGCTTGTTGAAAAGAACTTGTAAATTAATTATTAATATACTTAAAAGAAAGAAAGAAAATATCACATATACAGTATAATAAAAAAAGGGAACAGGCAGTTTTAGGCTGCTGATACTAACTTAAATTTTAGCATTTAGAGTCTGACCGAAAACATCTTGACTTGCGATTTTGTTTTTACCTTCAGCTTTAACTTCCCCAGAACAGTTTCCTCTTCCCTGTGTGTAAATGGCAGAAAGCGAAAGAAAAGTGCAATATTACACTGTGGATGACCCAATTTCCCCTTATGGGGGTCAGTTTAAAACTGTTATCCATCAAGTATCCAAAAATCAAAACTAGTGACATTTGTGAATACATAATTTAAAACATTACATTTAGTTTGGTTAGCAAATGTTTTTTTTTGGTCAGTCTTCACTTTAAAATAAATAGCCGATTAGTTTTCAGATTTAAACAAAATCAATGCTGTGAGATCAAAATCAACCGATCAGAACTTAAAATCCCCTAAATAGTAACAGTCACACAATAATGACCTTCAAGACATGCTTTGACCTATGCTGAAAGAGGACAAGCCAATACGCGATGCAATGATACAGCTGCCTCATCGTCAAAATAATATAGTCCTCTCTCTGATTCCTTCCTGTACCAACATCACACCCTCAGCCATTCAAAGGGATCATACAGCTATCTGTAAACATGCTCTCTGACCAACATTACATCAGTGAGACACATTTTATCCTTCATCTCACTTACTGCACCAGCTAGACTTAATACAAACCATCTGTTTGTCAACACTCCCCTCAGTAGTATTCAGTAATGTTGTCCCAGGACAAACAATTGAAATCATTTTTCTGTTCCTGTGGGACAAGATTTCTACTGAATAACTGGCATAAAAAAAGTCCATTCTGACAAGAATATTAAATATTCCGTCCTAAATGACAGATTCATAGCAAAGACCTTAAAAACCTGAATACAGCAATAATAATTGAAACCTTAGCAAAATCAATATCAAACATAACTTAATTCAGTCTAATGTGGTTCTAGAAGAGCAAGATGCCCACTTTATGTTTCATTAAGGAGAACGCCAGATAAAAAAAGAAAGAAACGTTGGAAGAGAATTACAGAGCGCAGAAACTTTCCTCCAAGGTTTCAATAGGCTGCTCGAACTCCCGGGATGCAGAGAGCGAACAGTCCAGAGTCAAGAAACAAGTTATTATGATGATGATGATGCACCTCTCAGAGCCACAAATCAGAAAAAATCAAATGATGGTGTGTTTGGTCCTGGCAGACAGTGGGCCCAGCCCTCAGCTCCAGGACATCAGTCTTGACACACTCAGCTCCCCCCGTTCATCTCTGCTGGGCCTTTGGGTACGAGAAGACTCATGCGTCCCGTGGAGCTCGCTGCACTTTTGATCACCTCCATCCATCTGCAACACATCACAGCATGTTTTAGCACATCAAACATTACTTCAAAATAGTGTTCATTTCGTTAACAAAATCTATGTTTGACGATGACCTTTTTTTCCACGACTAAGACGAGACGATAACGAGACAACACCAACGTCATTAAACGAAAACTGTGACTATATCAACATGCTATATCATTGACGAGACTAAAACCTCTCTTTGTTTTTTGTCGAAAAAAGAGACAAAATATTAGACTGTTTTTAACAAGCCGCTATGAGCTTTCATGCTTGTGGTTGACAGATGTCAAGATCAAAAATATTAAGCAGCACAAATGGTTTAGTAGGAAATGTTTCTTGAGCACCAAATCAGCTATAAATAGATTTGTGAAGATCATGTGAGACTGAAAACTGGAGTAATGATGGTGATTTTGTTGTTGTTGCAGAAATCATTTATCTTAAATTGTAATAATAATTTACAGTATTACTGTTTTTACTGCAGTTTTTACTGATTAAATAAATGCAGATTTGATGAGCATAAGAGACTTCTTTCAAAAACACAAAAAGAATCTGACCGACCCCAAAGAACGAATTATCAAATCATTCAAATGATACAGAGAAAACAATTGACAGCCCTAAAATTAATTAATATAATGTAATATATATTCAATTTCTTATAAATTATGTTTAAAAATGTATTTATATAACATTACCTTTCAAATGTATACTCGCTCTCTGCCCTGAAAAAGTAAACATGGGATTTGAACTGCAGCTTGAAGACGTACTCCTTATGGATGCTATCCGATTCCCCTGGGGTGCTGACTGTGTAACCTAGCAACGGAAGACTGGCTAGAGGGAAGTCATCCTGGGACAAAAACAAGAATTAATTATTAATTATTCAGACCTCTAGACCTCCTACAGGAAGTTTAAGCTTTCAGAATGAACATCAAATAGATGAAATCAAAGGGATGGAGCATATTTCAATACCTGATGTGTCTTGTAAAAGAACAGGCAGAAGTTGGTAAAAACGACCCAGAGTTTCTGCCAGCCGTTGCTGTTCTTGAACTTCCTTAGGAGGTAACCGGACAGCTGGTTCTGCAATGGAGCGCAACAGGAAGTTAAAACATCAATTGCTACAACAGCGCAAACCCCTCGTTCACAAAGGACCGTTAGTGCTGCATTGGTGTTTCATGAAATGTGCACTGAATGAGTAAGCTAAGGGACAGAATTTTCCAAATCAGTAGTAAAAAAAAAAGAAGAAGAATGCATAATAGAAAGTCTCAATTTCACAGTGGAGCTTGTACTCTATACCAGAGCCATAACCACTGTAGACCTTGAGGGAAACAAGTCAACCGCTGCTCTGCTGCACTCCATTACGCACCGCTCTGTTTGTTGTAAGGATGGCAAGAATAAGTTGCATTTTTAGTCTATAGTCTAACAGCGCTCAATGTCAAAATGATTGAGATGGCCAATTAAATCAAAGGAAGCAGGCCTTACTGTTCAAAGACGACAAGTGCGAATTCCAACGTGACATTTTTAGCAGTGAAAGAGTGTGTGGTAAGATACAAGTAGCTAAACATTTAATATTTGACAATGTTTACGTTAGAAATGTTCAGCGATCGACATTAATATATAGTGATGCAGACTACTATGAAATT